TGAGGCACTAGTGCTCCCTGGCTCTCCTGGTACTATAGACCCCAGGATTCCATAGGATGGAACTATGACACATGACAACGTGTCAAGAATCAAACAGACCCAGTTCTCCAAATAGGCTGGACAATAAGATCTTTGGCCTTCAAGCACTGCTTACTTTTCATGCATGTAATTAATAAAGCCATGCTCAGATTTTATCCCAACAACACCACTGTGTGACCTTTGTCTCTTCATAAAGATTTTCCTGCTCATGTAACTTTTATTTTTATTTTCAGTGAATGGCAGCTGGTAGTTGTACATAAGTACCCAATCAGCTGTCTTCATTTATTTATTGCAGCTTCTGGGATGTGTGTGTGTGTGTGTGTAGTAATTTAGCACTGGTAGGACACAGCATTTGTCTTAATTAGTGCTAATGCATGAGAAGTACCTAAGGAAGCTGTAGAGCTTGACATACAGAAAAGCCTGGAAGCAGTTACAAAGAAATTAACCACTGTGCCTAAAGACAGGAAGTCTCCCAAGCTTTGTGTGTAGATAAATTTGTGAGTATTTCCTGAAACCCCAGTGAGAAATATTAAAGAATGGTTAAGGGTAGAAGAAAAGGACAACTTAGATGCATAGTGACATGATGAATCTGAAAGGGAATACTCATGGACAAAATGCTGTCTTATGATGGTATTTCTGATCTTGATATATTAAATATAAATAAGGGGTAACATTTAGCATTTAGTGGTTGTCAGTGCAATAGTTAGGTATATCTTCTTAAAAGACAGTCCCTTAGAGCTCAGTGTAGATGGATGTTCAATCAAATTCAGTCAAATAAATGGATGTACAATTGCACATGCAATTGGATGCTACTGTCAAAATGCCATGTTTCTTAACAAAATAATCATCAAGACTCTGTAAAATGTATCAGAATTTATTTATTTATTTACTTATTATTTACTGTGCTTATAGACCGCCGTTCTCAGCCCTGGGCGACTCACGGCGGTGTACAACATGTAAAATAAGGTGCAATTTACAACATAAGCTAACATCAACTAGCAATATCAAAAACATCATCAAACAACAACATCAATATCAATAATACAATTACAACAAGTCATTCGCGACGTCTCATCGTTGAACCACAATCCAAATATCGTTTTCCGTGTTCCGTTCCTATCGTCATTGCCAATTATTGCAGCACTTATTCAAATGCCTTCTCGAACAACCACGTCTTTAGTCTCTTGCGGAATGTCATAAGGGAGGGTGCCAGTCTGATGTCCACAGGAAGGGTGTTCCACAGCCGAGGGGCCACCACCGAGAAGGCCCTGTCTCTCGTCCCCGCCAGGCGTGCCTGTGAGGCAGGCGGGATCGAGAGAAGGGCCTCCCCGGACGATCTCAAAGTCCTCGTGGGCTCATAGGCCGAGATGTGGTCAGACAGGTATTTTGGGCCGGAACCGTTTAGGGCTTTGTAGGTCAACACCAGCACCTTGAATTGGGCCCGGTAGCAGATCGGCAGCCAGTGGAGCTGGTACAACAAGGGCGTTGTATGCTCCCTGCGTCCCGCTCCTGTTAGTAACATGGCTGCCGCGCGCTGGACCAGCTGGAGCTTCCAGGCTGTCTTCAAGGGCAGCCCAACGTAGAGAGCATTGCAGTAGTCAAGGCGGGATGTGACCAGAGCGTGTACTACCGTGGCCAAGTCAGAATTATACCCAATATTCCAGATTGTGATCTGAGATAGAGAAATTGTAATAACTAGCTATGGCCACCTAACAAATTCATGGCAGAAGTCAGATTTAAGCTGGGAAGTTCAGAGTTTATATTTTAGTATCCACATTATTAACACTGTGGCTAAGGGTTCTAGACTTAGGACCTCATCACATGAGGCTTGGGGGCATCCTAAGACACTTCCAGAATAAAGCCCAATGGAGCCCATCACATGATTCAAGGCTACTTCCAGCAGGGCTCCATCCTGGAAGCATCCTAGGATGGAGCCCTGAGAACATGGGTGGCTACTCATGTTCTCAATAATTAAGCTGAGGGCAGAGTAGAGGGAAGCTGAGGGTGACCCCCCCCCCCATGTGATAGGGAAGGTGGCAAAGCAGGTAATGCAGAGCATAGGATGATGGTTCACCTTCTTCCTACTGGATTTGTTCCACTACCCCATGGATACCCCCACTGACCCCTGACTTGAGGACCTCAGTGTGATGCACTCCTTAGTCAATAGTCAGAGTAAATAGAGGGGATCTTGAAGAATGTGTAAGAATATTTTTCAATTTGTTAGATTTGTTGTTGTTTTATTTGAACGGCACAGTTTAACATATCTTCTGCATGATATCACCAGAGCCTGCTCCTTGTAACGTCACCAGGGGTTGTTTTCTATGATATCACAAGGAGAGTAAACCCTGGACCTGATGTTTTGGCATTGAAATCTTGGGGCTTGGAATAGCCTCAACTGGGCAAGCCTAACTGTGGCTAATTTAATTTGAAACAAACTATGGGATTTTAGTGTTATATGCAATCTTTAATGTCCTGAATGACTCGGCTCCAAACATTTATTATTTATTTATTTATTTACTTTATTTGTATACCACTCTTCTCAGCCCTTAGGCGACTCAGAGCGGTTTACAACAATTTAGGTATACACAATACAAAATCATTAAGCATTTAAAAGCAATAGCATCACAAATCATTAAACATCAATATCAATACATCACTACATCAATATAACAAATCCATCAGGTCTCATCAATGAAGTTTGGACATGTTTTGAAATCTTCTGGAAAGGGTTTTTTCTGTGTTTTTCCACCTTTTGTAAGTAGACCTTGGGCCTCACCTTGGGTGAGACCTTGGGTGGAAGGTCCAAGGTCTCACCTTTTGTAAGTAGACCTTGGGCCTTCCGCCTTTTGTAAGTAGACCTGTAAGTAGATGAGCAAAATTGCCTGTCCTATGCTGCTGTCACACCTCTTCAGGCATGGAGCCCATTGGCTCCCATCCAACAAAGTTGATCTACTTCCAGTAGGGCTCCATACCTGAAGAGGGGTGAAATCGGTGTTGGTTGCAGTGGCAGCAACATGGGAGATTTCCTGTGTTGGATAAGAAACAATGGGGAGAAGCTGGGTGGCGGATGCTTTCCCCCAGTGGATGGAGTAAATGGCAAGGGGAATTATGCAGGCCATGGGGTGCTGGGTCCGTCCCCCCCCCCCCCCCCCCCCCCCCGTCCCCTATTCAGGCCCCGCTGGATTTGCCATGATCCATGGCAAATCCAGTAGTAAATGTGGTAAGAAGAGAGCTCTCAGATTCTAGAAAGGTTACGTGACTGACACCCTTTTTAACCTCTTTCTGCACTCACATTCAGACCTTTTTCTTCTAGCAGGGCTTTGAGAATTATTTTTTAAAGGGGACAACAAGCCTCCATAACCTGCTAATTTTCTCTAAAAAACTTTTAATGGTTTACATTTTAACTGTTTATTTTTCATAAATTAATTATTTTTAAATGCTCATGTTATGAAATTTGTATATGTTTGTTTTAAGTGTTGCCATCTACCTTGCACCAAATTGCAAAAGCAACAACAATAATGCAGCCCCTCCCCCCAAAAAATAGCTTGCTCATGTGAAATTATTTGCCTCCACTGATTTTTTTGCCTTTGGTTTTTTGTTTTTGTTTTTTGTTTTGCAGACTTCAGTGCTTACTGTGCAAGCAGTAATTCCTGCTATTTTTTTGTTGTTGGTGCTCCCATATACCCTGATCTCAAAAGATCACACAAAAAGATTCTGGACTCTTTAATGCTGAATGTTTCTTGTGTCACTGCTTCTGTTTTTTCTCTTTAGCTCCTACTTCTATAAACACTGTCTTGTGTGTTCTAGCAGCCATTTCTGTGCAGTGCTCAACTGAATGTCAAATAGTAAAGGGATGAAATCACAGCTGAATGCAGAGAGTGTTTGGCAACCTGCTGAAAACACCAACAGTTTGAAAAAATTATTGTGGTCCCAGAATAAAAGGAAAGTGAAAAGGAACAAGATTGACAGAAATTAATAATGTTATGTGTGTAGACACAATAAGAACTCCCCAAAGTACAGCAGAGCATTTTATTTCCTGGGGGTGGGGAAGGAATCCCTACAATAATCCAGGTGGTGAGGGTGGGTCCAGAAATGTGGTAAATTGACCATTACCCCCTGCCCCAAAAACTGGATGTTGGTCATTTATGGGCCACTCTTCTTTTTCCAGCCTTCTACATAGGAGTGGCATTATTGGGCCTATTTTCAATCATTAAGGTCCCCTGATACTGGTGCTGATAGGTTTTCCTATCTTCATTTCTCATTAAGCAATCACGTAAGGACTCCAATTTAACTATCACGGCTTCATCTTATGGGTTCCTGGGATTTGTAGTTTAAAGAGACAGTAGAGCTCTGTAGAGGAACATTCACAATGTCCCTCCCTGAACTGCCTATCTCATGGCAGTTCAAATGATATCCTAGCACTACCATTAAGTAGTGTGAAATTTTATTGCCAGTGGTTGAACTGACCATTCCAAGTGAGCTCTTACTGAGAAAAAAATGCAGTGGTGTTATTTTTAGATCCATAGTCCACAATGCTGTTGGTGTACAAACAGTTGCACTTTTTCTAGGGTCACACAAAGCTATTTGTACATCATGGGAGCTTCATTCTTGTGTGTCTTCAAGTCATTTCAGGCTTATGGCTACCCTCAAGGGAATGTATCACAGGGTTTTCTGAGCCTAAAACTGTGGAAATCGAACCCAGGTCTCCAGAGTCATAATTCAACAGTCAAACCACAACACCAAAATGTTTATTTTTCCTTGTCCTGCTGCCATCAACAAGATTCCAGTCAATGTGTAATGCAGTCTGTATGTAATGCAGAAGCAAAATGATAGCATCGATCAGATGCATTCTGATAGGGAGTGTGTTGTATTCATTTCTGTATACTGATACATATAAATATGATATTTATAAATTTACAATAGTTTATTATCCCTCTGTTCTTTCTTTTTATCTGAAATAGTTTTACCATCACTAATGGTCATATGGAGAAGAAAGGCCATCTAGAATTTAACATTGAGCACAGTGACCGGATTCCACCTACTTTACTTTATAACAAAGGTCTTCATATTATGGAGGGCAGCAAAGGAATCTTAACTTCAGATGTTCTTCAACTTACAGACATAGACAGCCCAGCAAAAAATCTCACCTATATTATTACCCAGTACCCACAACATGGACATTTATACGTGAAAGAGATGGTCTTACACTGGGGCCAATTTACACAATTGGATGTGGATAACACAAGAGTGTACTATAAACATAATGGACGAGCTGGGCAAATTGATAAGTTTTCCTTTGTAGCTACAGACAGAGTCAATCGTGGAGTTTTGGTCAATGGGCAACTGAGAGATGACCCCATTGAATTTATGATACAGGTATGTATGGATATGAAATATATTCCCTTTTCTGTACATGGTCAGTATTTATTAGAAGTAGAAATATACTAGCTGGCATTTTCCAATTATGCTTCCTTAGCAGCACATATTTAAGATGTAATATTGCAATGAATGTACAATATTAAATGCTGGAAATTGCCCCAAGATACTGTATTCTCTGAGGCTGTAGAAAGAAGAAAGATTTCAGTGGAATTAAATATTTATGGCTTATCAGGGCAACTGGAACCTGATGTAACTCAGCCTTAGGCTACCTCTGGCAAAACTTTTTCTGAGTGAGTACCTCCCTGTATGTTCCTGTGAGTTGTATGCATGAGTACTACCTTGCCTACTCTTTTATGTTCATGTCTATGTCTTTGTACATGTATGAATATCAACTTTCCCTTGAGTTCCTCCTGCGGTTCTCTCTGTTATTGGCTTCTTGCTTTTCTTTCACAAGGGCTCTAGCCATGATGGATGGAGGTGGTCATCTAAGCTCTGTGGTTGGGTGTCCGAGCAGGCATAAAGGAGGGCTCGTGAATTGTACAGAACTGAGAATTTTGGCTGTACTTTTTTCCCTCTACAACTCTCTTGTTTCAAAGATGCTTTTGTCCAAATTCTCTCTCCTCTGTAACTGGATCATGTTCTTCTGTTCAATCCATACCATACACTTAGGTCCTGTGTGTGACATTTATTCCAAAGAGCCAGGATAAGACTGGCAAATGTTACCCAGAGCACTTTTTCCTCTAGCTGCCCCTAGACAGGGGAACAACCTGTTGGAAAAGACTCAACAGCTGAGTTTAAAACAGGCTGGCCTATCTAAATTATTTTATATTATGAATTTTAAATTATGGATCTGAATATGCATTGAACTTATATATTTTTTTAAACTGATGGTATGTTTATATGTTTTTAACTGGCATGTGTTGTTGTTTTTAATCTGTTGATGATTCCCATTTTGATTCATTGGGGAAGGTGTGTAAAATGTGTTGTTGGATTCCATCCCCCTGTGCAGCTATTTACTCAAAATTAGGCAACATATTTATTTATTTATTTATTTATTTATTTATTTACTTACTTTATTTGTATACCGCTTTTCTCAGCCCTTAGGCAACTCAGAGCGGTTTTTGAACTAACCAGGATCCAGACCCAAGAAATGCTTTGCGGAAATTGGTGACATATTAGAATTATCACAGAGAAAGGGGAAGTAAATTAAACTCAAAAGTGGATTAGAACATCAAAAGAATCCTCCCATTCAAGTTCCACAATTTGGTTCTGGGGCCCACAGATTTCCATAAAGCAAACATCTCCGCTCGTTGAGAAGTGTTTTAACTCACCTTTGAAATGTAGCTCTGTGCCTTTAAACTCATTCTTCAGTGTTAGGAATACATTTAACTGCTTATTCAGGACTGAGAGACTTACATGTCTGGTAAATCAGCCTCAGTGGCCACTAGAGAGAGGCACTTCTGGCAAAAGTTCAGAAATCAGTGTTTTGGAAAGATTGGTTTGACCAGCTCTCATGTGAGCGCATGTTCCTGACCAAATGCAGTCAAATTCTAAATGACATTTAACTGCTCCCTTGCTACTCCTAACCATGGCCAAAGCCCTCCTAAACCTCACAGGATGCTCAGGAGGAGCTTATTTTGAACTTCCCTTATTGCAACTTCGTGTTCCTATTTAATATGTTGAGGTTGTGTTTTGAATAACCTGTTTTCTTGTGATTTATTGAGGAGTCTTGGGAGATGCGTGCATTATAAAATATGCTTCTACTTGTTAAATTGTTTAAATGGGGATTCCTGTTTATTGCCAACAGCTTTGACATATAAAGACAAATCCAATGCGTTTTTACTCAGACGTAAGTCCCACTGACATTAATGGAATTTACTGCCAAGTAAACATACGCTTTCTAAGTTACAGATGGTCACTGCAAGTTTGTCTCTATCCCTTTTCATTAAACCTGGCAGTGCTGTTTTTGAAGGGTGATAGATTTTGAAACTGAAAGGGTTAATGGGCAATAGCCCCTAAACTGCATGTTTCTTAAAACTCATGGCCTAGTTTACTAATCAGTTGTCATAAGATGTCAGATAGGGAACCATCACTTAAGGATTGCAGAATGCAGTCAGTCAAGCAGCTAATTGGTTGGACAGTGGCATGAAGGTGTATATCCCAAAGGATGGTGAATTATCAGAACAGGTGAAGAAAGTTTGGATAGATGAGCATCTCAGTGGTATAAAATTCAACACTTGGCTGGATTACATTGATGTTGACCAGGAGGGCAGCTTTGTTCCTTCTTTGGGGAATGCATATCAGCATAGTTGGCTGAAAAACCGTCATTCCCTTCTTTAGTTTAATTGAAGAATGAAACTGCTAGTCAGCTGAATGCTTGAAAGAGCAATACCCAAGGAATACCTTGACATATTTTTTGTCTTATATACTGAAAAGCATGTACTTTCTACTGTAGCCACTCTGAGTCCCTTTGGGGGAGAGGTGCAGGTTAGAAATATAGTATTATTATTATTTGAAACACAACAAGGTTAGTATACAGCAAACAAGATTCTGTCTGTCATATTGGATCACACACTTCCCAAATGTCACACACTTCCCAAATGTCTAGGACTTCCCCTTCTTCCTCTTCTTCCTCTTCTTCCTCTTTTTCCTCTCCTCCTCCTCCTCCTCCTCCTCCTCCTTTGGAATTCATCTTTCTTTTAAATCACCAGCAAACTAGTCTGGCAATAATTCATTACAGAACTTGTGACAAAGATCCCAGTCAAAAACCTCTAGTATCTCATCAACTTCCATTATCTTGTTATTTGTAACAAAATTTGAAAACAATTCTGTTCCTGGTTTGGAAGTGTTATCCCTGTTCAATTGTGTGGAGCTTACTTTGAAAGTAGTTGTTATATTTCAGAAACTTTGTTTTTGTGGCTGCCAGAAACTATGTTGAATTGGGGGTATTTGTGTGTGTGTGTCAGAAATTGCAAGTCGCTTCTGGTGTGAGAGAATTAGTTGTCTGCAAGGGCATTGCTGAGGGGATGCCTGGATGTTTTATCATCCTTGTGTTTTATCCTTGTGTTTTATCATCCTTGTGGGAGGTTTCTTTCATGTCCCGCATGAGGAGCTGGAGATGATAGAGGGAGCTTCCCCCAGATTCGAACCTCCAACCTGTCCTGCCGGCACAACGGTTTAACCCATTGTGCCACTGGGGGGCCCTGTGTTGAATTGGCTGAGAGTCTATCAGATATTCATTAAAAATTATAGCAAAATATGCTGCAGGATGTCTTGCAAAAACAAAGGTTTTGCAGTTCAATAAACTTTTTCTATGTTTTTATGATAGAACCAATTAGGAAATGACATTTATAATCCAGGAACAAAAGTTGTCTTCTCCTACTAGGTGCTAGGGTTGTGCAATCAATGAAAAAATGTTTCAATACTCATTACAAAATTAGGGTATCTGGGGAAAAATTGTTTCTACAGTGTTTCTGAAATTGCATGGGGTCTCTGTTATATCTATAACAAGTTATCTACTTTTTGTTACTCTTCATTAAGTAATTAATTGTGCCAATATGGAAACTTCAGGAGAGACTATTACCCTCATTTTTACAGCTATTGGGGTGAAACTTGCTACAATGGTAGAACTCATTTACTACTCTTAGCCCATCATGTTTCAGAATGTTTTGCTCATCCACTGTTTTGGGGGGGAATTTTCAATTTTTGAAATTTTTAAAAAACATTTTTTAAAAAAAATACAAGAGTGATCTCCTTGAATTTTCTGTACAATGACACAAGAAACGTATTTCCAAGTTTCAGAAATATGCATACATCTACTGATTTTTTGAATTTTTAAAAGTATTGACAAAAACCTTTTTAAAAAAAGCCACAACAGCTATCTCATTGAATGTCTCTCATATTAACCAATAGAACTTCAATTTAGGGATTTCTTCCCAGCCCAGCACTGATTTACTTACTTGTATTGAAGTATTAGCCAGTCCTCCTTTTCAGTTTCAACAATGTATTGGAACTCTGACTGCTGCTAAGAGGGGGAAAAATGGAGCTTTCTGATGCTGAGTAGAATTCTGGGAAATGTGGTTTATGGCAGCGTCTTTTGAATTCTCTGCCATTGGGCTCCTCATCTTCCCAAACCACATTTCCCAGAATTCTGTGCTCTCTCAGTCTCTTTCCAGTTCACTCAGCTTTGTCCCACCCTTCTGCTTTCCTCTCCTCATGGTGAGAGGCCATTAATTTAAAGAGGAATGGCAACCTTTTTGGCTTCATCTCACTTGTGCTGAAAATGAAACTGACTTTGATAGCCCACCCCCATGTTTCTTAATATCTGTTCATATATACAAAACTTATGAATTAGATACGACTTACTAATTAAAAATGAAATTTTGCACACCCTTACTAGATACACATTATACTCATCATTTCAAGTGGGGGCATAGCTTCATTTCAGAATGAGACAGATGATTACATAGAGAGAGATATAGTTTTTCATTTTACAGTAATGCACAGTGAAATAACCCTTGAAGCTACTATCCTGGGTGCATAAATCGGAAATTGTGCAAAACCTCTGATTTGACACATCTACTAACAGTGTAAGGTTTCTATATTTATATTTAAATACATAGCTCTATGGAACAGGCAGCAGTCGTCCCATATTACCTCTGATTCTAGCAGAGCTTGGGACATACTTCAATAGTAAGAAGTTATAAGTAACAAGGCCCAAAAGATAGGTAGGTGTCATGGTGTTATTATTTTTTAAATTCTTTACTTTCTAGATTCTCAAAGATAACTAAATGAGTTTCATTACTTATTTGGGAAAGGGGGAACATTTAACGTTACAAGCTATTGGCCACCATCCATCTATACCTTATTATTGTTTCCACTCCCATAAGAGAATTACACTTAAACTGTGTAATATTCTTTTTTGTATCACAATTATAAAAATAACTTTAAAATCATAGTTACACCACAAAAGATGTAACACTCCTGTTTGCTGAGTTGCACTTTTCTATCTCTCTTTCTGGAGAAAAAATGTATTAAAGGCAATAAGTTATTTGTAAACTGGGACTTTTAAACTCTGGTTTCCAAGTTGTGGTTTAGCAGAGCCAAGAGCAAAAAGCAGTGTGTGGTATGTAAGAACATCTGCATTTCCAAGCAGTTGGATCAATTATTTACAAAAGAATAATGCAAATGTATGCCTTATATTTGGTATTCAAGCTGAATAATACATTGTATGGAAGAACACTGTAGAAATCTTCCCCCTCATTTTGCCAACAGGTAGAATATCAAGATAAAATGGTTCCAAAACTCCAAGTAAAAGCAAGCCCAAGCACCATACAAAACCTGAAAGATGGGAGATTAGCTGTTCCAATCACAGTTCACAACCTGAAAGTTACAGATGATGGTAGCAGAGATGAAGATCTCATCTTCAGAGTTCGACGTCAACCTTACTTTGGATATCTTGAACACTCAAGAGCAGGTACTTCCACCCTTTCAGTCCTGAAATGCTAACAAATATGTTTAATTACCTGAAATATTTTGCAACAGTGTAGTCCTACAGAAATCTATTCAGTTGTCACATTTAGGATAAATGTCTGTGATATCTTTATCTCCAATCCAGGCATGCTTATCCAAAATTGCTTTGAGAAAGGAGGAGGACAAATTTTCCATTTACTCCCCCCCTCTTTACATTTCTGAGCCCTCTCCCCATTTGTTTGTTCTTGTGAGTTGGGGAACCCTATTTGAACTGTAGAAAGGTTTTTCTGCTGTTTCTGGGCGTGGGGGATGGGAAGTTAGGAGAAAAATATGGAAATTCAGTGGCTTCCTCTCTGACTAACAATCCTGTCTGTGTTTCTGTTTAGGAAACTGAATCTAGTTCAATTGTATATTCCAATAATAATAATAATAATAATAATAATAATAATAATAATAATAATAGTTTTAAATTGGAACAGTGCAAATTAAACAGACTTCTAAGTCACCTGCAACAAATAGGTTTCATGGTCGGAGTCATATGGGAGAAATTAGACAATTTCACTCGATGCTTTTCTGCAATTTTGAGGAAATATTAATAAATTAATAATAGAACAAAATAGATTCTTCTATCCCAAAACTCAGAATAATAATGTATATTTATCCCGTAAAACTGAGTACACTCATATTGTATAATACTATAACTCATGTGAGCTTGTGGCATGCACATTTAAGATAAATGGCTAAAAGACTGTTGTTTCCAGTAAGCTTCTTTTCTAGTGTGCTTTTCTAGTCACTGATTATATGACTCACTATTTATCTGATAATGTAATTAACATTTGCCAGCCTCTGCTGACTCGAATTCTGTCTCAAAACATTTGTTTGAAAAGTTGCCTTGTGTTTGAGCTGTCATTTTTTTAACATGACATAAATAATTATCTTGAATTAGGTTGGACAGCTTAAAATAATTTGAGTTTCAAAGAGCTTGAGAGGCAAGATAATTTTCAAAAAGTGAACATTGATCATCTTGCATAAAAATGCATGTTTTCTTTATAATGTTGCACTCTCCCCTCTCTCTTTTTCTATCTTGGAGGTGGTATTCTGAAAAACTCTTTTACTCAAGATGATCTAAATCACCACAACATTCGATACATCATAAATCCCACCTCAGAGGTAACTTCAGATAGCTTCACATTTGAAGTTTCAGATTCAGCCGGCAACACAATACTTCCAGAGAAGTAAGTGTCAAGAGTCAGGGTCAGTCTATTGCATGAGGAAATCCTAACATTATGCTATATAGATTTCTTTTCATAGATTTTGTGAGCATAGGTATTCAACAGGGGTAGTATAATGGTTTGACTGTTGGATCAGGACACTGAAAAATCATGGTCAGCCATGAAAGCTACTGGGTGATCTTGGGCAAGTCACATGCTCATGGCCTCAGAAGAGTGCAAGGGCAAACTCCTTCTGAGCAAATTATGCCAAGAAAACACTATGACACAGTTGCCTTACAGACACCAGAAGTGAAATATGACATGCAGGCACACATTTCAACATTAATATTTCACACACACACACAAACACACAGGATATTCTGTAGTTGAAAACATTTCGGTATATAGCTCTGGCTATTGGAACAAGGTGATAATTTTTAAAAATATGCCATATTAGGTAAATCTGTGCTTTTTATAAAAGGCCAATGAAATCCTATTTATATCATTTTCAATCAAGTAAATCAAAGAAACCCAATGAAATATTCTTTTGCTTTCTATCCCTGTTCTTTTAAGATGTAAATTGTTGTAAATTGTTCCCTTGCTTTCCAGAAGGGAAAAAGAAAGGCGAGGTATGTGGCAACTAGTTTAATGTATCCCTTCCAGGCAGACCCTATATCCCAGGATCTGATCCCAGGTTTTCTGATTTAAACTGGATTTTATGAGCACACACTGCCAGATAATTTAGGATAAACAGAACACCTGGGATCAGATCCTGGGTTATAGGGCTTGTCTGGAAGGACCTTGTGTTAAATATTCCATGTATTTAATTGGGGGAGTGGGGTTGATAATCACTTTGGGTTGATCAAATGGGTATGCTTTGGTATTTATTATAATAACAAAACCTGCTTAAGGAAGTTTCCCAACCCTCTGTAGTAGGTTTTTAGGCTGCACAGAGGAATACGGGAGTGAGGGTCTGCAGATTCTGGCGGAAGTAGTAGGATTCTGTGGAAGGACTCCATTAAATCCAATAGTGGTCAGTATCAGGAGTCCTATCGGGGTCTTTTTTATTGTGCTTTTACTGCATGACAAGAGGTTAGACTGGCTGGCCCATGTGGTCTCTATTATTCTTTGATTCTATGGAAACAATCCATAATGGATACAAAAGGCTACTGTACAACTGTCTCTAACACACTCTATATAAATTAATGTTAAGTTTAAATTGCAGTCATTACATAATGTATGTGATTGCCTATATTGCCTCGCTTCTCTGCTTATATCCTATTCATCTGATAGGAAACAGCAAATAGGCATTCTTAATGACGGATGTCCTGAAGTGCCCTTACAAAAATATGAAAAATATTTCATTCTCAATTTAACTGAGTTTCTCCAAATTTATCTATATCTTTTTTCTTTGTTTCACTTCAAATTGTGAGACTTCCTTTCAGCACAACTAGCAGAACTTTAGTGTACTTTCCCCTAATTTCCATATTTATCTATATCATTTACTTCCATTTATACAACTTCGTCCCATTAATTGACATATTTATCTGTGTATTTTTTCAGTTATGCATATTTTGGTTGTTCACATTTTTACATGTCCTTTGTAAACCCCACAAATACAGGAATATTCAACACGAGGGATGCTTTTTCTCTCAACAAGTCTTGTGAGGCATAAAAATGCTACCTTCAACAAGACTGTTGAGTACAAAGAAAATTTATTTCTATTTCTTTTCCTGACTGTTTAGACCAGCATAAATACAGTGTAATCGTCTGCTCTGGGAATTGTCTACAGCCAAATGGCCCTGTATCTTCTGGCATGGTCTATTAAGAGACCAGTGTCTTCATCTCAGTCAACTGACCAGCTCTTTTTATAGACCCCACAAAGCTTTGTTTTGTGTTATCTCACCCAACCAGTGCAATGGATTTTCCTTATCAGCCATTAACAGAGTGGACCATAAGAGAGTCCACTCAGAGACTCTTGCTAACCTTGCAGCTTTGATTTCTTCCCTTGCATTGGCTGTGCCTTGGAGTTCCTTTCTATGCCTCTGGGGACATTTTCAAGCTCTCTTTTTGTGGTAACACCTTTCCATTTCTCATCCCATATATTTTAATATGCTGTCGCATAACAATGATTTTAAATCGCACTAAGACACAGTTTTATTGCCTTGTAGCAATTCAAAAATAGCTGGTAGGCTTCATTCCATGTGGAGCAAACACAGTATTCCTAGAAAATAAAAACCAGAAGATAACTGAAATTATTATTTTGCTCGTTCTTATTGCTTTGATATTTATTCTAATATCAGACAAGAATAAGATTAGCTATGACAACAGCTTCTTTCTTCTACACTTGTTCACCTATCAGGTGATATTTATATAGAGGAGGAAAATGAAATAATCAGTACTGAAAATGAGGGCTGTCCCTGAAAAGTGCCCAGAAACTTCAACCAGTCCAAAGATCTGTAGCCAGGTTGCTCACAGATGTTGGACCCAGGGAGCATACTACTCCCCCCCCCCCACTACAACACCTGCACTGGCTGCCAATGTGTTTCTGGGCCCAATTCAAGCTGCTGGTTTTGACCTTTAAACGTTTCAGATCCAACTTGCCTATGTGACAGCATCTCTTCATATCAAAGGGCCCAAGCATTAAGATCTTCTGGAGAGACCCTTCTTTCATTGTTGCCACCGTCACAAATGCGGTTGGTGGTGATGAGAGAGAGGGCCTTCTCAATGGCTGCCCAGACCCTCCAGAACTCCCTCCCCAAGGAAATTAAAACAGCCCCTCCCCTGATATCTTTTAAAAAACAGCTGAAGACCTTCCTGTTCAAGCAAGCATTTAATGAAGAAATCTAATTTGAAGTAACAGGAAGGCTAACTTACAGTGAGCTGAGTGAAATGTGTAACTTGAATTGATGAGTTCCCACAACATTAGTAACTGTTCAAATGATTTTAAATGCTTATTTATGTTTATGTCATAGATGGTTTTATTTGTTATATATGCTGTTTGATTTGTACTGTTTTACTACGTTGTAAGCCGCTTTGAGTCCCATTTAGGGAGAAAATGGGATATAAATAAATTATTATTATTATTATTATTATTATTATTATTATTATTATTTAAAGCACAACAAGATGAGTCCACAGCAGACACTCTGCTGGCTGTTGTAGTGGATCACACATGACACTTCCCAAGTGTCTAGGACTGTGTGATGTATCGGCAAATAATGTGTGCAGATCCCAGTAAGGTGGCCTTCTACAGCTGGCAGATGGTAATTTTGTCAGTGCCAATTGTGTTTAAGTGCAGGCCAAGGTCTTTAGGCACTATACCCAGTGTGCAGATCACCACTGGAACCACCTTGACTGGCTTCTGCCAGAGTCTTTGCAGTTCAATCTATAAATCCTCATATTATTATTTATTTATTTATTTATTACTTGCACTTATTAACCGCCACTCTCAGCCCTAGGGCGACTCGTGGCGGTGTACAAAAACATAGAAAAGACAATTTACAATAGGTCAAGACAGCACAACAACATTCTACTACTACATAACATCTACTTATACTAAAAATCCGCTTCGTCTTATCATGTGGTCATAATCAATCTCATAGTCGTGTCCATTCCGGTCAACATTTCCAATAACATAGCACTCAATTGAAGGCCATCTCGAAGAGCCATGTTTTTAGGCCTTTACGAAAGGCCATGAGGGAGGGCGCCTGTCTAACTTCAGCAGGGAGGGAGTTCCACAGCCGGGGGGCCACCACCGAGAAGGCCCGCTCTCTCGTCCCCGCCAGACGTGCCTGTGAGGCAGGCGGGACCGAGAGAAGGGCCTCCCCAGATGATCTTAAGGTCCTCGAGGGCTCGTAGGCCGAGATGCGGTCAGAAAGGTATTTTGGGCCGGAACCGTTTAGGGCTTTGTAGGATAACACCAGCACCTTAAATTGGGCCCGGTAGCAAATCGGCAGCCAGTGGAGCTGGGACAGCAAGGGCGTTGTATGCTCCCTGCGTCCTGCTCCTGTTAACAACATGGCTGCCGCGCGCTGGACTAGCTGAAGCTTCCGGGCCGTCTTCAAGGGCAGCCCCACGTAGAGAGCGTTGCAGTAGTCGAGGCGGGATGTGACCAAAGCGTGTACCACCGTGGCCAAGTCAGACTTCCCAAGGTACGGGCGCAGCTGGCGCACGAGCCTAAGCTGTGCAAATGCTCCCCTGGTCACCGCTGAAACCTGGGGATCCAGGCTCAATGATGAGTCCAGGGTCACACCCAAGCTGCGAACCTGCGCCTTCAAGGGGAGTGCGACCCCGTCCAGCACAGGCTGTAACCCTATACCCTGCTCGGCCTTACGACTGACCAGGAGTACCTCTGTCTTGTCTGGATTTAATTTCAGTTTGTTCGCCCTCATCCAGACCGTTACAGCGGCCAGACACCGGTTCAGGACTTCGACAGCCTCCTTAGTAGCAGGTGGAAAGGAGTGACAGAGCTGGACATCATCTGCGTACAGATGACACCGCACCCCGAAACTCCGGATGATCTCACCCAGCGGTTTCATGTAGATGTTAAACAGCATGGGGGACAAGATGGAGCCCTGAGGAACCCCACAGGTCAAAGGCTGTGGTGTTGAACAGGAGTCCCCCAACAACACCTTCTGGGTACGACCCTCCAGAAATGACTGGAGCCACTGCAAAGCAGTGCCCCCAAGACCCATCTCTGCAAGGCGCCCCAGAAGAATACCGTGGTCGACGGTATCGAAGGCCGCTGAGAGGTCCAGGAGCACCAACAGGGACACACTCCCCCTGTCTAGCTCCCGGCGCAGATCATCCACTAAGGCGACCAAGACCGTCTCGGTACCATGTCCCGGTCTGAAACCAGACTGTGCCGAATCCAGATAATCCGTGTCTCTCAAGAATACCTGGAGTTGTGAGGCCACCACGCTTTCCATGACTTTGCCCAAGAAGGGAAGATTGGAAACAGGCCGAAAGTTGTCGAATTTGGTGGGGTCCAATGATGGTTTCTTCAACAGCGGCTTTATAATAGCCTGTTTTAGGCTCGCCGGAATCTTGCCTTCCCGAAGGGAGGCATTAACCACCACCGTTACCCACTCGGCCAATCCCCCTCTGGCCTCCTTCAGAAGCCAGGATGGGCAGGGGTCTAGGATGGACGTGGTGGGCCTCATTCCTCCAAGTATCTTGTCCACATCCTCGGGCTTCACAAACTGAAAAGAATCCATCAAAGTAGGACAAGCAGGTGCTCGTGTCACATCCACGGAGACTGCATTTAACATGGTGTCCAGCCCAGAACGGATCAAAGCGACTTTGTCTGCAAAAAACCGAGCAAATGCTTCGCAGCGCGTGACCGAATTGTCAGGGCTCCCGCCTGAGGTGGCGGGAGTTAAAAGACCTCTGACAATCCGGAACAACTCCGCCGGACGGTTTTTTGCAGACGCAATAGTGGCCGCAAAGAAAGTTTTCTTTGCGGCTTTTATTGCCGCGGCATATGCCCTTAAAAAGGACACAAACCGTGCTCGATTTGACTCGCTTGGGTCCGAACGCCACACGCTCTCTAGTTCCCTCTTCCTTCGCTTCATCCCTGCCAGCTCCTCAGTTAACCAAGGAGCTGGTTTAGCTCGGTTACTTGAGAGGGGACGTTCCGGAGCGATCCTGTCAATTGCCCTGGTCATCTCCCCATTCCAGAGAGCGACCAAGGCCTCGACATGGTCACCTACCGAGGTGGCGGGAAAATCCCCAAGAGCCATCAGGAATCCATCCGGATCCATAAGCCTCCTGGGGCGGACCAACTTAATGGGTCCTCCACCTTTGCGGAGGTTAGGGGGTGCAGTGAGTCTAAATCTGATCAGGAAGTGGTCGGTCCATGGCAACGGAGAGATGGACAACTCCTCCACACCGCCACCCTGCTCCCATCCCTGGCAGAAAACCAAGTCCAATGTATGTCCAGCACAGTGGGTGGGGCCAGTTATTCGTTGGGACAGCCCCATGGTTGCCATGGCGGACATGAAGTCCTGAGCCGCTCCTGTGAGGGTTGCCTCGGCATGGATGTTGAAGTCCCCCAGCACAAGAAGCCGTTGGGACTCCACCGCCAGGCTCGAGACCACCCCGCTAGCTCAGGTAGGGAGACTGTAGTGCAGCGAGGTGGACGGTACACTAACAGAATCCCTATTCTGTCCCGGTCACCCACCCTCAGGTGGACGCATTCAAAATTTGTGGTCTGCGGGATGGGACTCCTGGTCAGATGGATGGAATCTCTGTAGACCACTGCGACCCCGCCTCCCCGTCCTCCGGCTCTTGGTTGGTGTTGCACGGAGAAACCTGGAGGGCAAAGCTGGGAGAGATTTACGCCCCCAGCTTCATCCAGCCAGGTCTCCGTGATGCACGCCAGATCTGCCCGCTCCTCCAGGATTAGATCCTGGATCCAGGTCGTTTTTCCGTTGACAGATCTGGCGTTCAACAACACCACCTTCAAGCCAGAGGGTCCGCTCACCTGGTTACACCAATTTACCTTAGGAGACCGAGTGGGGGTTGTCAATATGGATAAGCGGTCCGAATTAGGCCAAATTTGAGGTCTCCTTTTTCCGCATCTCCTCCTTCCCACCACGACCTCTATGGGAGCCCCCCGGCTATTGGAACACCTCCCCCCCTCCATGCCGCAATCCAAGGTCAAGAACTTGCTTTCTGCTTTGCTCGTTGTTAGATTTTTTGGTTCTTGCCAGCATCCTCTCTCCCCCTCCTCCTCCCCCCTCCCCACCCCATTTTCATTCGCAGGCTCCAGCCCACCTCCTCTTCTGTGTCAGCTTTTCCAGTTGTTTCTCTTCAATCCTTCTGTCACCTTCTTTTGCCAGTTTTCTCTTCTGCTCTGGATTGTGTTTTTATGGTATTCGTTCTTTGTCTTTTGCACTTTAAGCAGTTTACTTTTATTGACTTCCCTCAATGTTGATTCTTGACTGCCTTTCACATAATCTGCCAGTGCATGTTTCTCTTCTTCTACCATTTATTTCACTTGCAGAAGCCCTCTGCCTCCTGATTTTTTGGGCAGCTAAAGTCTGTTGACATCCCTACACAGGTGTAATGAGTAGTGGATTGTCATCAGTTTTCTTGTTTTTCTGTTTAGATCATCCAGCTCTGCTTGTGTCCACAATTCCAGCAGTGTATCTAATGATGGAAATGGCACAGGTGTTGATATTCTTATTCTTATTAAAAATAAAAACACTCTAGCAGAATGGCACCAGGTTTCTACATTTTTGCTCCTGGGACATTAAATTTTTTACATAATCCCAAGAGGAAGGCAGTTTCCTATTTAGGGTTATACAATGTTCTTCTGTATGCTTTGTTTTCATGCTGAGATAACTGCTTTAACCTGTCACAATATGATGCAAGAGAAACTTCCTGTGAGATTTCAGAAAGTAGGAGCAAAACTTTTTTTATGAGTCTTTAAGGTATTTCTGGCTTGAGGAAAACTCACAGGGTTTTCTTGGCAGAATTTGTTCAGAAGAGGTTGCCTTATCTCTCTCTGAGGGTGAGAGAGTGACTTGCCCAAAGTCACCAGGGGGTTTCCATTGCTGAGTGACAATTTGAACCTTGGTCTGTCAATGTCTTAGGACATCATCATGTTATCATCCACTGGGGCCAGTGTGGGGCGTGGAGAACTCATCGCCCTGCACCCCACATTGCCCAGTTTCCCCCTCACCCCATCTCCCATGTTTCTGTGGTCATGGCTTACAACTCTCCCTCTTTACTTGCAATACAAAGCTCCACTGGAAGTTGATTTATGTTATGGGATGGAAGCCGGCAGGCTCCGTGCTGCAAGTGAAAAGGAAGTGTCTTTACTGTTGGCTCCCAGAACAGCTATTAAAGCTCTTTAATTCTGCCAAGTTTTAACTGATTTGTGGTACTCCTTGATGTAAAAAGGTTTCCCTCTTTTATTGCTATATGATACTTTATCTGCTTTTATTCTTATTTTTGTTGAGATGTTGTGTATTGTGGTTTTTATTATTAATTGTAGTTCACTTGGGTAGTTCCAGAAATATATTAAACAAAGGCACAAGGAAACATGACTATGTTTAAGGTCATGAACTCAATGATTGCCATGCTTCTGAGATGGAAAAGAAAGCTCCACATTCTTGTATTCATATCCTAGATCTTGGGGTTTTGGGGCCTTCTGGGAATTTGTTGAATGTTATGAATCTTCCTCAAAAGGCACTTATATACTGTTTTTATAATAATGGGAAAGTAATTGGAGATTTTTTAAATGTCCCTGAACCCCATCCATTGATTCCTTAGGCACGAAGACAAGGATGGGGAAAATGCAGTCCATGAACTGTGCAATTCCCAATGACATTTTTATGTTTCTAAGGATCACCAGTCCAAAGATTTTTGAAATGTGGGTGTCCCCAAATGGTCTCTGGGGTTATAGCAGATTTTTTGTCATTTTTTGGTACCCTTGGGGTGCCTTAAGCTCAGGAGAAGGCATTATTCACAACTGGAAGTAGCATAGAAGTTAATTCCAGATTACTTCCTTTTAGAAAAATACAGAACTAAAGCCGATGGGAAAGTGAGAGTAGAAACATGGTAAACTTATATCCATGTCTCCTATTTTGGGCAAAAAATTAACATTTTTCCAGAAGGCCCCTTTACTCATTGACAATTATCCATCCTTGGTATAGGTGTACATGAACTATTAGGAACAGCTGTCATAATGCATCACTACCAGAGCTACTGGTCATTCTGGCTGGGTTATTCTTGAAAGCATAGTCCAAAAACTCATTCTAATGATTACCATAGAAGACCTTTGTATTTCCTCTGTAACTTAAAAAAATATGTTTCACTATCAGTCTTGAAGTAAAATGGTCTCGTATAGAACTGGAAGAAACATGCTATCGCATTTGTGAAAACACGGGATCTCTTCCTATCAAAATTCTAAGAAATGGAGAGAGTGCTGAGCCACTGTTTGTCGGAATAAAGGTAAGATATAACATAAGTTAGAAATATCAAAAATTTCTATTAATACCTGCTACTTAGTATTTTGTTGTTGTTTTTAAGGTCCAAGATGGTTCAGCTAGAAATGGCTTGGACTTCAAACATAGTACAGCAAGATTAATACAGTTTGATCCTGGTAAGACAATTTGTTTTATATCTTTACTAGCAGGTTTTCCTAGCATTGCCTATTTGATGTTTCATTTTAATGAATTTGCTGAGGATTTGAATGAAAATAAATTTGGACCAGTATTCATGCCTGCAATTTCTAAAATAATCTTTCAAGCCAGGCCAATTTTCATGTAAAATAAATGAAACCTCAGTGATTTATAGGGGTGTGCACAATTCTGATTGGCGATTCGGGATTTGGGGGAATTCTGTGATCTGGCAGATGGATTGTCAAAAAAGGACCAGGCAGGACCTCAATTTCACTAATGAGAGCTTTTGACTCAAATATCATTGGAGGGGACAGTCTGTCCTAAACTTTAAATACAAGGTCCTGAACCGATTTTAAGGATTGCCTTCAGTATCTTGAACTAAAACTTAACACAGATTCATTACCCACTAACAAGCAATCTGTAAACCAACAAGGATGATGGATATATTTAACTAAATTATTTTCTGCTGGTAAAGTTGTGCCAAGCCACCTAATTGATAACAGACTTCATACATGAACTCCACCAGAACTTTCTTTGCGCTCCCCAAACTAGAAGCAGTTGGAGCAGCTCAGAGTGAGCCTAGAATGGTTAGAAATGTTCCCCGTGCCTTCCAAGATTTTGCTGCTATATATTACTCAATACTTAAATATTATTTTGGGTTGTTGTCTACTTGACTTGTGGTGAATGATGCCTAATTATTCAGGTTCTTGGTCTGTTACAGGTATAGAAATCCCAATTTCACGAGCACAATTCAAAGTGCTGGTGTTAACCTATAAAGCCCTAAACGACTCCGGCCCTGTTTACCTCTCCGAACGTATTCTTCCCTACGAACCATCAAGACCACTAAGATCGTCTGGAGGGGCCCTGCTCTCAGTCCCACCGCCTGCACAAGCACGGCTGGTGGGGACGAGGGACAGGGCCTTCTCGATGGTGGCCCCTCGACTTTGGAACTCCCTGCCATTAGAGATCAGAACTTCCCCCTCCCTCATGACGTTCAGGAAACTAACAAAGACCTGGTTGTGGAAAGCGGCATTTGACAACTGATTTAATTCTTTGCCCACATGAAAGGAGGATGATGAATGGAATTGTGATGGTGTTGGACGATTTGGCTCTTTTAAATATGATGATAATGTTTTAATGTGTATGGTGCTGATATTTTAATCGTGTAATGAAGTGGCATTGTGTTGTTATTGTATATTCTTTGTATGTTAACACATGTTGTGAACCGGTCTGAATCCCTCTTTGAAGGTGAGAGGGTCGGTATATAAAACCTCAAAATAAATAAATAAATAAATAAATAAATTTTATTAGCTTTCATGTAATAATAGCAGTGGCATTGATGTATTTTTTCTTATTCAAAAATCAAAGTTTTTCATGGAAAGCAGTTAATTGTACTTATTTTACTTACTTACTTAGGTAATTCCTCGTTGGATGAGTAGGATAGTCTTCCATGATCAGTATTCTTGTGGATCAGTAGGTGGCTGTGGAGCCCTATTTTTGACCTGCATCTTCTCCCACAGTGAGGACATTGGTTTCCAGGTGGAAGGCAGTTTCGATCGCAGTTGGCTTGACGCGCCTTCCTCCTGGCACATTTCTCTCTTTCACCCCCCATTCATGCCTCTTCAAATTCTGCAGCACTGCTGGTCACAGCTGACCTCCAGCTGGAGTGCTCAAGGGCCAGGGCTTCCCAGTTCTCAGTGTCTATGCCAGAGTTTTTAAGGTTGGCTTTGAGCCCATCTTTAAATCTCTTTTCCTGTCCACCAACATTCCATTTTCCGTTCTTGAGTTCAGAGTAGAGCAGTTCGGTGGTCGGGCATCTGGACAATGTGGCCGGTCCAGCGGAGTTGATGGCAGAGGACCATCGCTTCAATGCTGGTGGTCTTTGCTTCTTCCAGCATGCTGACGTTTGTCCACTTGTCTTCCCAAGAGATTTGCAAGATTTTCCGGAGGCAGCGCTGATGGAATTGTTCCAGGAGTTGCATGTGACGTCTGTAGACAGTCCACGTTTCGCAGGCGTATAGCAGGGTTGGGAGGACAATAGCTTTATAGACAAGCACCTTGGTCTCCCTACGGATGTCCCGGTCCTCAAACACTCTCTGCTTCATTCAGAAAAATGATGCACTCGCAGAGCTCAGGCGGTGTTGTATTTCAGTGTCGATGTTGACTTTGGTGGAGAGGTGCTGCCAAGGTAGCGGAAATGGTCAACATTTTCTAATGTTACACCATTAAGCTGTATCTCTAGCATTGGAGAGGGGTTGGCTGGTGACTGCTGGAACAGCACTTTGGTTTTCTCGATGTTCAATGACAGGCCGAGCTTCTCGTATGCTTCTGCAAAGGTGTTTAGGGTGGCTTGTAGATCTTCTTCTGAATGCGGACAGACGACATTGTCATCAGCATACTGGAGTTCTATAACAGATGTTGTTGTAACCTTGGTTTTGGCTTTCAGTCTGCTGGGGTTAAACAGCTTGCCATCTGTCCGATAGATGATTTCCACTCCGGTGGGAAGCTTCCCATCAACAAGGTGAAGTATCATAGCGATGAAGATGGAGAATAGAGTTGGGGCAATAACACATCCCTGTTTGACACCCGATTCCACCTTAAATGGGTCACTTTGGGAGCCACTGCTGTCCAAGACTGTTGCCATCATGTCATCATGGAGGAGCCGCAGGATGTTCACAAATTTGTCAGGGCACCCGATTTTGTGGAGGATGGTCCAGAGAGCGCTGCGATTCACTGTGTCGAATGCCTTTGCAAGGTCAATGAATGCCATGTACAGAGGTTGATTTTGTTCCCTGCATTTTTCTTGGAGCTGTCGTGCAGTGAAGATCATGTCCACTATTCCTCTGGAGGGGTGGAAGCCATTCTGAGATTCTGGGAGGGTGTCTTCTGAGAGGGGTATAAGGCGGTTTACAAGGATTCTTGCGAGGATTTTCCCAGCTGAGGTTAGAAGGGAGATACCTCGATAGTTTCAGTAGTCTGTTCTTTCCCCTTTTTTGAAGAGGGTGATGGTGGTGGCATCCTTGAAATCTGCTGGGATTTTCTCGGTCACCCACACTCTATGAGCTGGTGGAGTTGTTGTGTCATCTCAGGTCCTCCCTCTTTAAAGATTTCAGCAGGGATTCATCAGGTCCACTGGCTTTGTTATTTTTTTGTTGGCTGATGGCATTGCTGACTTCTTCCAAACTAGGCGGTGCTGCAAGCTCATCCCTGGTTTGTTGTTGCGGGATTTGTGAGAAAACCTCTTTGGCCACATTGGAGCTGCGGTTCAGGAGGCTTCAGGAGTGTTCTTTCCAACGTAGGTCAATTGAGTTTTGGCCCCTCAGGAGTTTGGTTCCATCTGATGAGCGTAGAGGCTGTATGCCATGGTTTATTGGTGCATAGATGACCTTTGTGGCTTTGAAAAATCCCTGAGGATCATAGGTATTTGCCAGGTGTTGGATTTCTTCAGCCTTCTTTGTCCACCAGTTGTTCTTGAGTTCTCTTGTCCTTCTTTGGACCTCAGCTTTTGCACGGGTGTAGATCTTTTACTTAGCAGCACAGTTGATGTCTCTCTGCCATGTTTGGAAGGCTTTCCTTTTCTTGTCAATTAGCTCATCATTTTCATCAAACCAATCTTGATGTTTCTTGGTTTGATATCCAATAGTTTCTTCACAGGCTGTGGTGATGGAGGTCTTCAGTTTGTCCCAATGTTCCTCAACATTTTCGGGGTGTTCTGTGGGGAGATGGTTCTTGAATGCTGTTTGGAGAAGGGCTCGTCTGGGGGACTCCTGAAGGGCTTGGGTGTTCATTTTGCGCCTTGTCTTTCTTCCTTGAAGTCTGTGCCTGGGGGCGATCTTGATAGCCATCGTGGATCGGATTAGCCTGTGGTCTGTCCAGCAGTCGTCAGCACCTGTCATGTCTCTTGTGAGGAGTACGTCACGGCGGTCTCTGGGATGTGTGATTACGTAGTCTAAGAGGTGCCAATGCTTTGACCGGGGGTGCTTCCATGATGTCTTGAACTCGTTTTTCTGGTGGAAGAACATGTTAGTTATGACAAGGTTGTGTTCTGCACATTTGGTGAGAAGCAGGATGCCATTCGAGCTGCTGTTTCCAACCCTGTTTTTTCCTATGGTCCCTGGCCACAGGTCAAAGTTTCGCCCGACTCTTGCATTAAAGTCCCCCAGGAGGATGATTTTGTCCTCCTTAGGTATCTCCGTTAGGACGGTGTCCCACTGACAGTAAAAATTTTCCTTGATGTCTTCATCAGCATCTAGTGTTGGTGCATAGGCACTTATGATGGTTGCCTGTTGGTTTTTGGCAAGATGAATTCGGAGGGTTGAGAGTCGTTCGTTGATGCCAGTGGGTGCTTCGGTCAGATGTTTCAACAGATCATTTCTGATAGCAAAGCCAACTCCATGCATTCTTTGGTCTTCTTCGGGCAGTCCCTTTCCAGAAGAAGGTGTAGCCTCCTTTTTCTTCCTTCAGCTGTCCCTCTCCTGCTCTTCGGGTCTCCTGAAGTGCTGCTATGTCAATGTTAAAGTGTCCCAGCTCCCTTGCAATGATGGCAGTTCTGCATTCGGGGCATTCACTGTCAGTGTTGTCCATCAGTGTCCGTATGTTCCATGTACCGAAGTTCATTTTTCTTTTTTGGCCCCAGGGTGGTGAGCCCACTGGACGTAGCAGTCTAGTCAGGGATAAGAGAGGCAGACTATGTTTAGGGCACCTTTTCTAGCCCCTCCCCTGTGTGGGGTGAGCAGAGTGGGTCCTAAAAAAGACTGCTCAGTCATGGATACAGCTGCCGAACTACTCAACTGCCTCGGACCTTGAGGTAGAATGACTGAGTCTGTATCTACCGCCCATGTGCCAGTCTGTGACTAGGGGCTTCCAGATTTCACAGTCCTGCCCCCGTCGCCACTCGCTGATCGCCATGGGATTTTTGTTGGTTTGTTTTTATTTTCTTTGGAAGACGCCTGTGCGTGAGTTTTTTAATGTGTGGAGTTCA